TGCGGGGAACTCTGCAAAAAACGCATCTTCGCACGGGCAGCCCGTGCGTTGGCCATTTATTTTATTGTTGTGACGGGTTTATTTTAGATTTTAATTTTGATTATCACTGTTTATTGTATTTTGAGTTTATCTAAGTAAAATTGCGAAATATCGTTGCGATCCTATGAGTTTTATTAGATGTACATAAAGTTTTACAAGTAACGATGATAATCTGAGTGTAATTTTGATTTATTAACAAAGTCAATAATACTTTGTTAGATATTTATTTTGAATGGATTCACTAGAATTGGTTTCTTTAAATTGCTTTTTTATTGCAGCAACAGTTATCTTTGTTTCCCTCAAGAGTTACGAAGTGTATGAGAAATGTATAGAGGAAATGATCGGGCACCGGCTATTTTTAACAAGTTTGGCAGTCTATCGTAGGCTTGACGACCTCACTAAATGAGGAAAACTTATTGAGTTTTTCTTAAAAAAAACCCCCTGAGAATCCGTCAACTTCCCCTTACCTCTCTCACAGAGGTTGAAATGGCTAGTTGTTTTGTCGCAGTAGGGTAAGTGACAAAACTGCGAAATTCGGCTTGTTGGCAGTTGACTAGATAGTCAAGCGAACACTGGGGAGGCCATAAGTGAGTTTGGGAAATCCCAAGGTTCTCGAGCGTCGATGGCATACAGCTTCTCAAGTATTCAAGTATATTTTGATCAGTTACACTTTACAGCTCCATCTATGTCACTGACAAATTTTCTGATTGCTTTGACCAATGCTGCATCGCCTGATGATCAGTCTGCTGGTGATCCTAACGTTCGTTTTGTCTCCTGAATGAATTAGCTCAACAACAGGTCCCTTGGTTGAAGTATCCAGCAAGACGTTAGCTGTTTCAATTTGCCTGAAACTGTAATGAATATCATCATCTCATGTCGAATACGCTGTGTTGGGAATTTCTTTGGAGATTATCGGGATTTCTTATCGAATATTTATTTCAGGATTTCCTCAACTTGCGCGTATTATAGCTAGTATTACTAGCATTTTTACTACTACTACTGTTACTACTAACACTACTGCTACTGCTACTACTACTATCAGCTCGAATAATTTGCGGTAGTACCAGCTAACTTCGTAAGCAGCATGGGAACGTATTTGAATTTTCTTCGTATATTACTAATTATCTCGTTCTCTGGCATGTTACTTTATGCACCATTCCTGCGCGGTAATCCATTCGAAACAAGAAGCCGAGGAGCTCGATCACTTCGTTTTCGAGAGGGACAAAAATTGATGATTATGTGGACAACATTTTTCAAGCAACATCCACGAAATCGTATGCATTTGCTGGATGAATGCCCAGATTTGATCGTAAGATTTTTTTTTTCCAACCTTTGATGAAAACTTCATGCTTATCAGACAGTAATTATATTTCGGTCGCAGTAAATGTAAAAGAC